TTAAAGTTTCCTTCTTTTACTGGAATGTATATGTGATCTGCTATTTGATGGAAATTGTCTTCTATAATCTATTTCAGAATCTGTTTGTTCACTAATTGGTCTATAACAACGAATTGGCGAGTTAAGGATGTTATCAATTTCAGTACTTGTATATTCTGAAAAAGTTAATACGAATTAATAAATTTAAGAAAAATACAAATTTTCAGTTTTATAAAAATGTTTACCAGGTAATGTTTCTTCTTGTTGTTTCTGCAAACAATTGTCAACTTGTTCATAATTTGTGCAGTTAGTTTCATTGAAATCACATTCAAAAATTTCTTCGTTGTTAATATTTAGTGGCACAGTACTACTTCTAATAAAATGAGAATTATTCTCATCTTCATTATCAGTTACGTATTGTTCGCATCCGGCAGCGTGTGTTTCTATCTTATCACTTGGAAAACACTGATTGCAGATGGGACAATTTATATTATCTGATACATTATATTTCATAAAATCAAGTTTTTTAATTACCGGAGTACTGTTATCCTATACAGAAAATAAAGTATATAAGACATACTTTATATAAAAAATTGAAAAATAATTTATATTTTATTAAAAAAAATTGGTTAATAAACTTTTACCTGATATAAAGTTTCGTTTTGTTTGTGTAGGCCATACGTTCTCTCTTTACTTTCTTCACTAACATTTTTATGAGATTTTGTATTTATTATACTTTTCCATCTCTTATTCTTTTCTTCCATAAATTTTCCTCTCTCTTCCCTTTGCTTTTGGCTTTGTTGTTGCACTTCTATTTGCTTTTTATAAAATTCCTCCTTTTTCTTTCTTTCTTCTTCCTCTTTTTTTGGAATTTCTTCTTTTGCAAATTCCATCTTCTTTTGTTTTTCCACTTGAATTTTTTCCAAAATTATACACTCGCTTTTAACTCTACGTGAAAGACTTTTTATTGGTAGTGGCTTAATTTCTATATTTTCTGATGACATTTTGGTTTTATGTGTTGATAACGTGTTAGTAAGAATGCTAACATTATCCTTTTGTTCTTTATTAAAACAATCCCTAGTACTTCGAGGAATCATATTTTTTGAATAAGAAGAAAATGATTCATGTGATATATATTCACGTTTTTTATCTTCTATGTCCAAATTTTCAGTTTCTGTAATGTTTCTCCTAATATTGTCATTGTTAAGAAGTTGATCTTTTTCATCCATAGTAACACAAGTTTCTTTGTAAGAACTTAATATTCTGTTTGAGAGTTCATAAGGTTGTATTTTCTTTTTCTTAATTATTTTGTTATCTT